AGGGAGTTCAAAGGCGCAAGCCTATTTTTTCTCAAATATACTGACTGATATCGACAAAAATTTAACTTCATGTTGTTTAGTTGCCAGGTTTGCAGTTGTAGTTTGTGTGGGTATGGTAACCAGGTTCTGGCTAGGTGAAGTTGGTCGCAGCCATTTCGGATCAAAGGCTAAACTCTCAACAAATACTTTTCCTAAGATGAAATCCATCTCATCATGTGCCGACGCCAACAGTTCAGAGAAATAGCTCATCGTTGGGTGAGGAAAAGTTATGGAGAGGGTGAATGGAGTTTCCTATTTAAAAACACAGTCGGCGTGGATGACAAATGAAAAGGGGGCGAAACGATTAAGCAAGGCGGAATACGGAAGGGGATACACAAATGACTAAACGAAGTCAGGAACCTCGGCACAAACGGTCTTGAGTTCGTCTTATCAGTCTCGTTTACCGAAAAAAGGACAGGTGACATTAAAGGCGTCGATTAAAACAAGGACAGTTGGGTTCGGTTCATTACATAGCCCTCTTTCTAAGATATTGCGCTATCCTCAGTAATTTTGTCGACAAACGGTGAGGGCACTGTGAGGTTTAGGGCGCTTGGAGGGACCCGGTCTGTTGAGACGATTTGTAGGGAGTCAGGAGTACAAATTGAAAGTTGGCCACGATATGGCTTAAGTTTGTCGGTGTGCCGTGAACGAGGGGATGGCAGGCTCTAAGGCGTCACGGAGGAGCAGGGTGGTTATAGATGCGGTGTCGAGCACAGTAAAGGGTCCTTGTCAGGGGTGATGGAATTTAGCGCAGTTTCCCGAGGGTGACATGGGTTATCAAACACTACGAGGTCACCCTGTTGGCAGGGTACGCCAGATATGCGACGGTCGAAATGTTCTTTTGGCGGACGGCCGATGATCTGAGGGTACTATGTGCGGTGCTGTGAGCACAACGAAAGATCTCCCGTAGTTTACGGACGTAGCTATTAGGTGCGGTTGGGTCAGGGGGAGGAACGGGAAATATTACGACAGCTGACAGCTGGATCTTGTAGTCGGTTCATAGATAATGTGGTGTAAATCCTGTCAAGGAGTGAACTAATCCTCTATTAGCTAGGAAACAAAAGGGAAACTGGACATTCCAGTCGTGTTCTTGGCCATCTCTAGAGAAATTGAATAGGTGTTTATGAATGGTTCAGTTCATACCTTCCCAAGACCGTTTTCTCCTGGATGGTGAGGTGTATTGCGAGTCTTGCGGAATTCGAGGAAGTCACAAATGTCCTTGAGAAGCTGCGATTCGAAGTGAATACCGCAGTCAGCGTGGAAGGAAATAGGTGCGCCCGCCGACTTATCCAAGTCCAGTTGATGGCATTAGCCACCGAGGCAGCGTCTTGACGAAAAATGGGAATAGCTTCCAATCAGTGAAATAGTCAATCATTACAAGTATATATCTCAATGCCGAAAGGAGACGGGGAGCGGACCGATCATTTAAAGTCCGGCGCGTTCACTTGGAAACCCAGTGATCATGGGCTGCAAAATGCACGAGGTGCGGAGTTGGGCGAACTTAACGAGAAAAATTGCACAATCCCGGCCAGTATGTAGGACAGGTGAACGTAATTGTGGCCGCCAGAAATCTGAGCTTGCAGCTAGTCCTGTACGTTGTTGGCCACGACCGCGATATCCCAAATTCTTTGTTGAGGTCCACTACGACAGCTTCAAAGACGCAACCAGAGACGATCGGGCGCAAGTTATGGGAAATGGGATCTCTAAAAACAGTACACCTTGTTCGATCCAGTGATCAGTCCACTGATGCAACAAAAGGCGGCTATTCATGCAAGAGCCGCGCATTTCCTGTTCGCGAGGTTTCGGGAGTCCCTCAGCCAAGTGACGATAGATAATGGTAGTGCTGGGATCGCTACTTTGTGAAGTGGATCACTCGTATCGGGTGGTTTCGTATAACTGTAGGGCATTCACGGACGCGGGAGCGATAGCTACATCCGTGGCGGTAGTGTAGGGTAGACGTGGAAGTGCATCAACATTTCCATGATTAGGTCCGGGTTGGTACTGGAATTCGAAGTCGAAACCCTGGAATGACTCCTGCCAAAGATCTGGCTTTGAAGGTTTGAAGCCATTTTAAAGCGCCGAGGTCAGTGCGCGAAATAAAACGAATGCCAAAAGGAGAGGTTTTATCTGCCGCTGGAATACGACAATAGCCAGTAGTTCCTAACGGAATGTGCAGTAATTCCGCTTGGGTATCATTAGTGTTTTGCTGGCAAAACAAATACACTGCTCGAGGCCCTTGTTATCGGTTTGTGACAGCACAGTGCCTATTGCGAAACCACTGGCATCGGTATAGATTATGAACGACGGGACGTCCTTTCCGACGTTGGGGGCGCGAAGATCGTAAACGCGCTCTCGCATTCCGCCGACCATATGAAAATCCACCCTTTCTCAATCCGTTTCTGGAGGGACTGGCAATATGGGCGAATGAAACGAGAGTGATGCTCAACTGAAGCTCCCTACATCCGTCTGATTGGTTGGTACAAGCTAAGTACGAATATGTTTTAGTCAGCCGGTGAGGGAGAAAATGTGTCCGGGTGATATATGGTGGCCTTAGGAATTGAATTTTAGTACTGAGAAAAATAAAGTTTTGTGGGATTCAGCGTGTGCCTCCGGTACTAACCTCAAGTTGTGCT